GTTGGGTTCTGTTATATCCCCTGGTGAATTATAAATGGTAACTCTAAGGACTAGTTGTGGACCAATGTAATACGTACATTTCCTATTGTATATTTGTTGTATCATTAGCTTTATTTTGACCTTTGACCTATTATTATACGATTCTTGAGTTATCATCAGTCTGTCGATTACTTTCCCCCTATTAACAGTCACATTTGGCCAATTATTGTACAAAAGTTATTTTCTATTTTTTTGGTACGATGTGGTCTGTTTGGTTTGTATATAAACCCAGTATGCTTGTGAATAATGATTCATATTGCCGAGGCCGTTATTTGTGTTCTGGACTTAACTGGCTGGGCTAGGCAGAAAGCAGAACTGACAAGTAATCAAGACTGCTCGTACAATTTATGTATCATTGCTCCGATCGATAATTCGCTCTTCTCTTGTTGGCAGTAATCAGCACGTTCATATAATAAAGAGGGCCGATACGCACTCAAGACTGCTCATACAGCTTTTGTGTATCATTGGGCGCTCATATACTAAAAAGGACACGCACTCACACGTTATAACGGGTTCGAACCCACGTTACTGCTTAGCTATTTTGGTCGTCTGACCTCTTGTAGTAGTGAGATGTTTTTACTGACTTATCGCTGAGTTTTAAAGAACTTTTTCACCAATATATTCTAACATTTCATTTCATATATCCGAATTTAATACTACTGTATTCCATGCTTATCGGGCATGCAGTAAAATAGTCACTTATCTCCATTTTTCAACAGAATATATCATACAATTGAGTTAAAACAACTGAAAACTATTGAATACTAGATGGCTATTCTTGGCACAATCAAGCTTATTAGTTTGCTTGAAAGATGAGTTATCATGCCATGAAAATTTGATTCATTCAACTATATTACTCACGAGTAATCTATACATAAATATAGGTAGGTGGTGTACATAATCATGAATACACACTGCTAAAGAGTCCTGAACAAGAACTATACGTATATCCATTATCTCATTGTCTTCACTGACTATATGACTTATTATCATTCCGTGATATCTAACTACTAAATTCAATAGCCTCTTTAATTAAAAAATATATTAAAGGTGTGACAGTTGATTTATACTCCCGTTAGAGATTGTATCAATAAATTTGGGTTGAATATTAAATTTTTTTTAAAAAAACCCGGTTGGTAATTGAATAGGGTTAATTTTTTTTCATTATTGAATCTTCCTGTTCTCTGTTTCTCTGTATCTCACTTGTTCACACACCCAACAATATTATAACTGTCATTCATCTTGCTTATAGACTATCAAAAGACTCGAATACCCTTTGCTTCTCTCTCTCTCTCACACACACACACATATAGACCCATATGAATACAGTATGTATGTCGCCGTCATTCTGAATTATTACCCCTCTTTCTAATCTAGAACTTACCGAAAATAAACACGCAATCTATATCATCTTACTTATCATTTATTAAAGTGTCAATCAATTTCTTTTTGTAATTGAATCTGATTCTATGGATTGAATATTAAATTTAATGAATGTATCGGACAGATAATTTTCTTTAGAGTGAGTGATAGTAAATGTGTTTATATTAGAAAGAGATTTAATAATGGTATTTTAAAAAATGTATCATAGGCCTTTTTGCTTTTATTATCGTCGTTTAATATTCACTTATTAACCCGAATAACTCAATGGTAACGTCTCTGATTGTGTGGCTGGATGACACGAGAATGAATCCGTCAAGGAGCACTAGTTCCCTCGAGATTACAGGTACACCTTGCTGACGAGTGCCAAGTAGCACGAAAACCGGGTCCAGGGTTTCCTGTTGACTACCTCCAACTACCATCTTATCACAACATAGTGCACGTGGTGTCGAGCCACCTAGACTAGTGGCTACATTGCAACTTGATCGATAGCATTCGATCAGCACTGAGAAGGACTTGACACGCATGACATTGATCACTATTCGGTGATCATCAATCAATTGTGACTTATTAACCTATTTATCTTGCATTCTAATTGCACGTCAGTACACTTACTTTGTGGTACACGATATTAGTGAACAGAACAGATAGTTTTCTGCTTTCTAATAAATAGCTTAAAGAATGGTTTCTTTTTAGCACTAGTGGTATTTTTCGATTGGATAAAGAGGTTAATAATGAGTTATTGTATCTAAGACTTAATCATTGTTGACCATTGTTTCCATGATATCACAGTTTGATTCAACTGTTTCATCGTAACCGTGATATTTGAAAATTGTGGATTTGATTTCATATATGGATTAATAACCTGTAAGTTTAAGCGTTCAACAAATAACCATAATCTTGATCCTAACTAATCTAAATTGGTTTTAGGAGGCTGGCTATTATCATAGCTTTATGAAAAAGGTTCAGATCAGAGTAGGGTACATAAATCTGCGCCTAGTTACTGAGAGATTTATTACATTGTGCTTCATCTTGACCTTAGTTATAAATAGAAACCATTAGTATTTGAAACTATAGATGTGTTGATCGATCAACTTTAGCAAGATATACCTGGAATCCTGAGGGAATTGATGCTTCCTGTGGAATTCGAACAGGCGTCGTTTTTCTACGGGATGGGATTGCTAACCTCCTCCTTTACCCGAGCTTGGGACCGGCAGCAACTCTAGAAGAGCTACGCACGCACGCATAACTCAACTAGACTTATATTAGATTTCAACTCAGTAGTTTCAACATTAATTGCTCTTCGATAAGCTTGATATAAATCATGAGATCGATCATCGGTGATGACTAGTAGATACCTATATGTTAGATTTGTATAAAACAACTATCTAATATTTGGAATAGGGATTTTGTGTAAATTGTAATATTTTTAACAGTTGATCTACGCTAGAACGAAATGACCATCTAGTACTTCCACGTTTTCAATGGTGAATCAGCTTCAGTCAATCAGTCACAACATAGAACTTCGTAGGTACGTACGTACATCAGTTCGGGTTGCTATACCACATTAGCTGAGATCGATTCATGAATCCAACTGTTAAAATGATCTAATATTTCTTTTTCTAACTTAATTCAATTTATAATGTCGACTACTACAAAAATGATTTAAATGTATTCTTAGTTATTTATTTGTACACATAAATATTGGTACAAAAGGGGCACCGAATACATATGCGCCGCACAAATCTCATTTGATTTGTGTGAGGGCTGTGATACTACCCAGGTGCCCAAATTGAAGAAGGTAAAAATCACCTGTGACCGTGGTGTAGCAGTTATCATAGCTGCCATCCAAGCAGTCGATCTGGATTCTTAGTACATGTATACACAACCTTATCTTCCCTTTATATGTTGTTATGTATTTCAACCAAACATACTAAATCGTTAAATATGAACTTCAATGGAATGTATAAAATGACTTTTTTTCTTACATTTTCTTGTCAAAATCAGGAAAAAAAAAATGTAAACCTCGATCTTTTTCATTTTTTTGAAAAAATAACCCACGTACACACACACACATACACCTTGATAAATTAGTTCTACCAGTCAAGTTGAATGTTTGTTTGTTTGTTTTTTGTTGTTACCATTGAATCCTTTTTACAGTGATCAGTTAATCTTTGTGTAGGAATATTGTTTTATTGATTAGACTGATTTATCCCGTAGTCAGTTGATTTCTATAAAAAGCAATAAAACATTCTGTGGAATGTTTTTTTATGTTCCTTTCAATACTACTTTTATTGAATTATCAGGTATCATTATCATTCAATCATATGAAGGTTTAGATACATTTTTCACCATATTCAACCATTATAATTATTGTACAAAGTGGGGGAAAGTATAGAAGTTGCATTTCGTAGCCTCCGAATGCCCTGCTACGGTTGGGGGTGAGGAGAGTCCGCTCTACTTCTCGAAATGCTTTCATGTGGTCACACGTATACAGCCACTGTCAGGGAATTCCTACTCACTGCCTTCTCACAGTGGCGGGGGTGTTGTTTATGAAATTGATAGGACGAAAAGCGAATGTCCGGCGCTTTAACCGGGTTGTTGGACACCAAAAGTCCACCTAGGGGAGTTGGAAAACCCTGATTCCGAACTATTAGTGAACATGGGTTCCAGTATCCTGAGGGAACAGATGGCGTATGAATCAATGGTTGGTTACTGGCTACCATGAGACTGCATATTCTCACGATGCTCCACTGCCTTGTGGATCAAATCTTTAGATCGAAGGCTCTGGGTGTGGCCCCTTAAGAAAACCACCTACTTCAGTTTGGGCACCTTGGCAGTATCACATCCCTCACACAAATCAAATGAGATTTTTGTGGCGCATATATATCAGGTGCCTCTTTGTAGTAATATTTATGTGTTTAAACAAATAAACAATTGCACCTTAAATGAAAATAACAAAACAAATAGTTCGATATAAGTAAAAACTACTTATGAGAAATGTAAAATTAATGGTATCATTAAGAACTGGACAATTAGAAACAGTTTTTTTCATTTCTAGCATAGGAGTTTTCCACCTCAGAGTACACCGGGAATTGAATATTTGACTTGTAGGTCATGAGACCTGTGTTTCACCATATAACACAACAATCATTCCATGTCATTTGTATTAATTGTCTCTTTTGCAATATTGTGGAACTCATTTAAGTACAAGTTTCCTCTTGGAGCGTCGATGACTCGTTTTGTAACAATTCTTCAGCTCACAAATTGACCATAGTTTGAATTATAAATCGTTGGATTAAAACATTAGGTTATCTGGTGGTTAAAAGATCATTGTACGAGATTAAAAGGTCTTAAGTTTGAACTCTACTGATGATACTGTGGATGTGGACTGCTGTAAAATACCATAAATAAATCAAAACAGTTTTTTGAAAGAACACTGGTTTTTCAGTTGTGTATTCTCAATTATAATATCAGTGTATTATGAAAGTGATGGACTATGGTTGTGTTTATTTTCCAACTGTTCATTTTTACTTTTTTTCTCTCACTGATCTCTTTTCTTTATTCCTTTTGTTTTGTAGGATAATAATCTAGTCCGACATTTAGATGCATGTGAAACAATGGGTAATGCAACAGCAATTTGTTCAGATAAAACTGGTACATTAACTACAAATCGTATGACAGCTGTTCAATGTTTCATTGGTAATAAACATTATAAACGTATACCGACAGCTTCAGAACTACCAGAATCTATCATCAATCTTATAGTAATGAATATATCCATCAATAGTGGGTATACATCGAAACTTTTGGTAAGTGACTATGATGTTATTGTTAGTAGTATTGTTCTTTTTGTGTTTCGTTTTCAATGTTGAATAAAGCGAAATAACATATTAATACTTAACCATTGACTTTGTAATCACTTTCTAATCCCCAGAAGTGTGTACTTTCAAACCCTGAAAAGAAAAGCGAGTTTCCTTTTCCTATTTCTTGATCGATCATGACGATAAATATTGAATAGTCTCCAGTTAGACGTTAGCAGTTCAAAAATCAATGTCTGAATAATTTATATCCTGGGACCACTGAGTAAGTAATGCAGATGTTAGGAAACGGGTACTAGGTAATGATGGCGAATCGATTGATGAAGTAGTGAAACTTCGTCAGTTGAGATGGCTGGGACATGTGTTACGTATGCCCAACCACCGACTGCCCCGACGTGCAATGCTTTATGGTGTAGGAGCAGGTTGGAAGAAAGCTAGGGCGGCCAGACCAAAACATGGCATAAATCCATGAAGTCGCTGACAAGTGGACTGGGCCTTGTTGGTAGGTGTAGACTACCTGGTTGGGATCCGCGAGATGATAGCAACCGATGGTTAGAGACCTTGAATGATATGGCTCGAAATCGTTTGCAATGGCGAAGGTGCATCCACTCTTTGTGCTCTACCAAATTCTAATCTTCTGAATTCCACATGCACCTATCCTTTTTTTCTTTACAAATTTGTTTCACTGAATTATACTCCTTCAATAACATCTTCAAACCCTTATCTTTCACATAATACTTATACTCTTCCTACTTCTACCAATATGGGATTTGAATCGACAACTTAATCTCTGTGTTAATGTGGTATGGCAACTGGAACTGATGTACGTACGTACGAAGTTCTACGTTGTAACTGACTGACTTACTGAATAAGGTTCACTTTTTTTCATCTATATAGCCAGATACTACGATGTCTCCGATTGTACTTCTTGGCGACTTGCACAAAGGAAGGTCGTAAACTTTTCATAAACGCATCTGAATAGGTTATGCAATAAATAAACATAATAATGTGTTAAGACAAAAACAGATAACTTGTTGAAATATCTAGACGGGATGAACAGGTAACCCAGATATTCAAGCAGTCCGCCAAAAGTTGTAGCATGATAACTTGGACCAACCTGAATCGATATCAAGCCCCTAAAGGTGTTTATGACTAAATGATTGGTCGATCCAATTTTCAAAGGTTATTTCTAATACTTATAATGAGCTGTGAACCATGATATGTAACTCAGTTGATCTAAATACCTATGACTTAGTGATTATATCGAGATAATTCTCACAGAATCCGAGTATACCGAAAGAAACTAGTCAATTATAGACGTAAACACCAATTAGATAATTTTTAAACTGCCAAAGTATAAATTAAGAGTATAGAGGTGGTGTAATATATGAGTTTTTAAACAGTGAATAACATCCATTCATATTCATCTATTAATGTTTAACTTCAGTCATACTGTATTGTAGTCTACTTATATCCATATGAGTAGTATATGGTGATGGTCTGACATAGAATGTATTTGGCAGAAGATCGAGACGGGGAACGAACAGGAATGAAGCGCGATCGGCACGTAAGTGCATGAACAATGAAATCAGAGAAGACGGACTGATGTTTGCTGTTCACCATGGTACTACACTACTAGTGATACTATTACTAGTTTGCTCAACAACAATCCTTAATCAAGTCGTGAAATCACGTCACAATCATACACCGTTATATTAACTCTAAGAAGATTCCCTTTGGATAATTTTCCTGATACTCACTACGAAAGTATCGTATGCTAGAATGAATACGAGCTATTTATATTCCTTTCTTCATGTCTATCTTTCTCTATTCCTCTCTCTTTTTTTAGCCTCCAGATAATCCAAATGCTTTACCAAAACAAGTTGGAAATAAAACAGAATGTGCTTTATTAGGTTTTGTTAAATCAATTGGACGTAATTATGAAGATATACGTACACAATGGAGTGAAGAACGTTTATACAAAGTGTATACATTTAATTCAATACGTAAATCAATGAGTACAGTTATTAAAGAGTCAGATAATCCAATGTCATTTTTATTATTTACTAAAGGTGCTTCAGAAATGGTTGTTAAATGGTAAGTAATAAGTAAGAAATAATAATGTAACTTTAATATCTATTGAATTCACTTAGTGTTGTATGTTTGAATCTTCCCATTGATGTTTTTAGGTCTGCAACTGGTACTGGGTTCAAGTTCTGGAGTGAACATTAACTCTGAGATGCAGGTGCATCCAGCTGACGAGTCCCAAATAGGACGAAACGCGCGTCAAACTGGATTCCACTGCTAACCACTATCCATCTTTGTCTAATATCTATTGTCATTATTTGTAAGAGTTTATGTTTATGCCGACTATGGATACTCAGAAGCACATTGGTTTGCTTTATGTTAATTTATGGACTATTTGAACAAATACTTCAATAACTTCACATAGCTACCTACAACTGTTAACATATTTCCTTTTTTTCAATGCTGGCTATCAGTGGGATCTGGAATGTATGCTTAATCTTTTTGGTTTTGAGACTCTACATCAGAATTTAACACTATTGTAATGTTCATATTAAGATTTGAACCGCAATGTTTCTGCCATCTGTGAATTTTAGCTGACGAGTCTTAGGGAAATAAGTATGTAACCTGTGTTTCGTTGCTAGTGATCATTGATAATCAATATTATTGTTACTTGAATTGATAAAAAAGTTAGAACTTGTCTGTTTTCATTGACCCAGATACCTGAAGGTCTGAGGTTCGATCCTTGATAGGTCAATGAATGCTTACTGCTAACGGGTCCCATACTAGGACGATTTAGATGTCCAGTGCTAAATGGTTTTCAGTGAATGTCTAGCTAAGATCAGTGTTTTATGGTGTAAACTACAATATTCGAGAGAAAATAATTGACCAACTACATTTGGACGTTAAAGGTAAGGATTAAGGGTTTAGAGTTAGGATTTAGCGATATAATCACATAAGTTTTGATTCAACTGTTATCTCCAATTTTAGAAGACATAATTAGGGATTTGGTATATTTAACAGTATCATTGTAAGCATCTTGAGCAATTTACAAAAGTTTGATCAGTCTTAGATCATGTGCATCCTGCACGAATTTCCTCTATTTAGCCATCATTTCATAAGTCCATAAACGATAGATAGAATATGGTTAAATAGATAACGGGTAAAGTACTGGGTCCGAATCCTTTAGTAAATATCAACTCTGTTATCCAAGTACATCCAGATAATGAACGCAAAAATGGATTAAACATGCTTCCTGGACTCCACTACTAACTACAGTTTATCTATTCCATATAAAAAAATATTTTAAAGTATTTCTACTGTTCGTCATACTTGACCGACTAAAAGTGTAAATTTTATATAGTTGAGATCATGAGTCATTTAAAGCTAGACCACCATGGAAAACCTGGAAGCACTGGACGGTCGTTTCGTCCTTTTGTGGGACTCCTCAGCAGTGTGCATCGACGATCCCGAGTTCGGCCAGGTCTGTTTGGAGATATCAACTCATTGAAGACAATTGATGAACGGTTGCTCAACTTCGTGGATTGGTTGAAGTTAGACATTAACACCGTTGGATGCCGTCTCAGTGGTCTAGTGGTTAAGTGCTCTGGCGCGAGACTGGTAGGTCCTAGGTTCGAATCTCGCGATTCGGGATTGTGAATGCGCACTGCTGACGAGTCTCACGATAAGACAAAATGACCGTCCAATGCTTCCAGGTTTTCCATGGTGGTCTAGCTTCAATCGACTCATGATTTCAACTATATAAAATTACTAAAAAATCTCCACAAAACTCCCTTCTGATAAAAGTCTAAATGTCAAGTTCCCATTTTGATTAACTAAAGATCCTGATTCCGACTCCTGGTAAGGTCAGGCGTACCTACTGTTGAAGGGTCGTATATTAAGATGAAACAGTTGTCTGATTCTCCTTGGTTTCCAGTGGTATTCCATACTTTAATCAATAATTTCTATTAAGAAAAATTTTATTTCACGCGAATAATTCAACTTTCAATCTTTATCAATTCACTAAAATGTCAATGAATATAAAGTTCCTTTAAACGGAATAATCTTTTTTTTTTTTGGTGGATAAAATAAACATTTCATCTATTCAGTCGCTCATTGAACACTCACATGCACAAACGTATAAAATCAATATGGTTAGCAACAATTATTCCTGTTTCCATTACTTTATTCATACAATAGGACCATCTCCATTTCTACATAACACACACACTTACATACATACATTATTTGAACAGAGAGAATACAATAAACGGTTTGCCTTAAATACCCATGTAATATTAAATATATTCGTATCACTCTAACATAAAACTTACCCCTTTTTATGTCTATCACTTCTTATGTAATTATAAATGAATAAAGTTGACCAAATCTTTTTTCTCTCTTGCCAGTCTATTGGAAATGATTGATTAGGTATATAGTGCAATTTAGATTTTTTTGTATACTTACCTTGTGTGTACCTTTTCTACTGTGTATATAATAAAAATCACTATGGCATATTTTGATAAATCTATACTAAAAGACATTTTTGTGTGCTTGTTCCTTCTGGGGGTTTTTTTCCTTTTTCTTTCTTGAAACGATAATTTCTTCCACAGTTGAAAGCATGAGTCAATGGAAGCTAGACCATCAGGGAAAACCTGGAAGCGAGGTCGTGGATGCGCACTGCTGAGGAGTCCTACAACAGGACGAAATGGATGTCCAGTGCTTTCAGGTTTTCCATGGTGGTGGTCTAGCTTCAATTGACTCACGCTTTCAACAATCAAAATACTAAATCTCCACAAAAACCCCATTCTGATAATTTCTTTGTTTGTTTGCACCATTATTTTAGGGTTTCCTTTTTTTGTAACATGGAAATGGATTGTTCACTAATTATTTATCTGGTTTGTTTTTATCGTTTGCCAATCTGTTGAAACTGGGTAACAATAGTCGGTATATAAGAAATGCATTGGGTTGTACCATTGTATGCTTACCAAGTGGTTGTAATATTTGACAGTGCACTATGAGAACTAAAGATCCTGATTCCGACTCCTGGTAAGGTCAGGCGTACCTACTGTTGAAGGGTCGTATATTAAGATGAAACAGTTGTCTGATTCTCCTTGGTTTCCAGTGGTAACTCAACGGATATCAATCTGTAGGCAATACAACCGACGGATTAAAGCAATCTCCACAAAACCAACTTACGTCACCTATGGCGAAAACGAGATATCCGTCTATCAATTAGGCGACGAGTATACTGCGCAGAATTTCGCTCTGTTCTACTTTACGGCTGTGAAACATGACCAATAAGAGTAGAAGATACTCGCAAGTTACTAGTAATTGACCAAAGATGCCTTAGAAATATTGCTCGCATCTGCTGGGATCACCGGGTAAGTAATAGCGAGGTTAGACACAGGGTATTATGGAATGATGGTAAATCAGTTGATGAGGTCATGAATCTTCATCGAGTGAGATGGTTAGGCTACATGCTACGTATGCCTGAACACCGATTACCACGACGTGTGTGACATGACCCACAATCGATCACAATGGTGTCGGTGTATACACTCTCTGTCTTCCCTTAAACCTTGAGATTAAAATTGCTTTATAACTTTCTTCCTTCGTTTACTATATTCTTATATACAACCTATCTTTTATATACTACTACCACTAAATTAACTATTTCTATGAGTCCGGTGTTCATCTCGTTGTGCTAATGAGGTGTGACAACTTGGACCGATGCATATATGTGCCTGGTCCTACGTTGTAGCTGACTGACTGACCTTTCAAGTACTGCCTTGAATTTTTATTTGTTCTTAATATAGGGTTTCTCATTAGTGAATATCAATGCCTTCTCCCCTCTCCCAACTTCCTTAGAAACGCATAACTGAGATTGAGTTCTGTTTATGAAAATAATACAAAACCCGCTCTGGATTTGGACACTAATCACAGTCCATCTGTAGATATCCATTTGCCTGTAATTCTTATTGGTTTCTTAATATAATTGAGTTATCTATCTCAATTTCCTTAAAATAACTAACTATTCATGTAAATTATCTTCTTATAACCTTTCAATCTACAAGTTGTTCATGGATGATGGATGAACAAAATAGACCAAGACCATTCAGTTTACAAGATCAAGAACGTTTAACTGAAGCAGTAATTGAACCAATGGCAGGTGAAGGTCTTCGAACTATTGGTATAGCATATAAAAAAATTACAATAGGTAAGTATTCTCTTGTCTCTTATGTGTATGTGTGTTGTGTGTGTGTTTCACTATTCGGGCGCTTATCTTGTTCTTTTTCGTTAGTTATTGAGAAAGCCTAAATAATAAAAAAACTGGTCATATTTTTCAGAATGTCATCCTATCTTATATCTTTCGGACTTTACTGAATTGATTTGCATATTTTCCCATTGACAATATAATAAATTATCGAATGGAATTTTTTCGGATCATTTAATTAATAAAGATCTCAATGGAAATTGAAATTTGTAAATGATTTAACTCATTGAATCATTGCCTAAAATGGTATAATTTAGCTACTTCCTATAAGTTATTCCTTTTATGAAATGGTGAGTTTGATACATTCAATCAGTTGTAAACAACATCAATTCTGGGATATGCTCATCGGTTCAAGTTGTCACACTAACGCAAATTTATTAAGACAAATACTGGAGTACTGAAAGTAGTGATAGTGATCGATAGCGTTCGATCAGCTCTAAGAAGGACTTGACATGCATAACATTGATCATAACCCACTGATCAATCAATTGTGAAGTAGTGATAGTATTAGTAGTAGCAGTAGGAAAGATTGTGGTGTATACTACTTATGTGGGCAAATATAAGTAGTATGTAAAACCAATCGGAAGTGGATTGCCTGTGCGCACAAGATTGAGAAGATTGAAATGAAGCGATGAGAGAAAGCTGAAAGCAATCAAATTAACAATAGGAATAAAGAAACGATGAATTTTGTAAGAGACAACTGATAGAAAATGTGCAAATGATGTATTTAATGTATGGTTTTCATATTTTGTAGTCTCGATTTGAATAATAAGTTGGTTATCTCTACTAAGTCTTCATTCATCACAGTAGTAGTAGGAAACATTTGACATAGAGAAAATGATTCGAGAAGGTAGAATAAATTTTAAGAATGAAAAGTTTGAGACAACGTTAAAAAAGAATGAACCTACATCATTGTGATCAATTCTAAGCCATGTCAATCAACTCTCCATATATTGGCTACGATAATTACGCGGACACCCCAAATGTACCCGGTATGGACGAGAGTAAGAAGTGTCTGCTCTCCCTCTCGAAACGCTCTCACATGGTCACGCGTATACAACCACCGACAGGAAAGTCCTACTCATTGCCTTCTCGCAACGGGGGTGTTGTCTACGTAATTGAGGGGACGGAAAGTGAATGTCTGGCGCTTTAACGGAGCTGGTGGCACATAGAGTTCATTTAGGAAAACCTTGATTACAAATCAACAGTGCATATGAGCTCCACGTTCCCGAAAGAACATATGGCGTATGAACAAGTTGTTGGTCAATGGCTACCATGAGACTTCATCTCCTAACTTTTTTTCACTGCCTTGTGATTTAGACCTGTAGATGAAAGGATCGAGCAGTGTCACCCTACGGAGACCATCTGCTTTGGTTTGGGCACCCAGGTAGTATTGTCGCCCTCACACAAATCGAATGATTTGTATGGTTCATATATGTTTGGTACCTCCTTGTACCATCGTTTGTTTGCTTAAAAAAATAAATAACCCATTTATCTTCACCTGTCTACATGGCTTTTAGCTGGGTTTTTTTCTCCTCCATTGTTATATATTTTTTGTTAGTATTGACTCTTGTTTAATTATATTTGTCATCTATATTGCATGTAGCTACGAATTCCAAAAGTCCAAATGATATGATTGTACAAAGTGAACCAAATTGGGATGATGAAGAACATTTATTAGAAGGTCTTACTTTATTAGGTATTATTGGAATTGAAGATCCAGTTCGACCAGAAGTACCAGCTGCTATACGTCAATGTCAAAAAGCTGGTATTACTGTACGTATGGTAACTGGTGATAATGTAAATACAGCACGATCAATTGCAATGAAATGTGGTATTATACAACCAGGTGAAAATTTTCTTGTTATTGAAGGTAAAGAATTTAATCGACGTATTCGTGATAAAGCAACTGGTAAAGTTAGACAAGATTTATTTGATCAAGTATGGATTAATTTAAGAGTATTGGCTAGATCTTCACCTCAGGTGAGTTTTTTCCTTCAAAGTATATGTTACGAAAATGTCTGAATTTATTGCTGTGAAACACGTCCCTTAAAAGTAGAAGATATTCGTAGGTTACGAGTATTCGGTCGTAGGCATATTCGAAGTGTTGTTCGTATACCTTGAAACCATCGAGTTAGAAATTCTGAAGCTAGATGCAGATTACTAGATAAGTGTGGTTAATCAATTAACGATTCGGTGAATCTTTATTAACTGAGATGATTAAGATATGTTTTACGTTTGCTTATTCACTCACTACCTTAACGTCCAATCATGACTGATATAGAGTTGGCTGGAAAAAAATGGCGTCTAAATCAAACCATGACATCAATCCGTGAAGACATTAACCATTGGACTGAACCATGTAGGTAGGTGTAGATTACTTCTTTGTGGTTCCCATGATTAACATAACCAATAGCTATAGACTTTAAGTTATATTTCTCAAAATCGTTCTCAACAGCTCACATGCACTCATTCTTTGTCTTCACAACTTTCTGAATTCCTCACTAATGATTTTTGTTTTATTTTACCAATCCATATTTCCTCCTTGAATCGTATCTTCGATAATTAATCAATACTATTACCACGAATACTATTATACTGATATACTATACTGATATTTACCCTGACTATTTCATTTCATTGTGTTAATGTGGTATGACAACTTGAACTTATGTACATATGTACCTGGTTTTACATCGCTTTCGACTGACTGACTGACTGATGACTAAAGTGAATGTTGTCTTTTGATTTCACGTTCTCTAATGGCTGATAACGTTGTGCAGGGCGTTAATGAAATATTTGTAACTGTGAACACCCTATCACAGAGAGAATCCAATGCCATTATATAATTGACATCTTACTGACAAGAATAGATAATTTTAATTGTTCAGTTATAATAATATCTTAAATATTTATCAGAGAGATGATTTTATCTCAATGCACACACACTCCATACTGTTATCCTTATGGCTATGTATTAAAGTCAACGAGTTTAGGTACCGATCATCGATGAATCACGGTTTGTTTGGAATCCCTCCCCCCGTGGGGGATTTGAAGTCTTGCATACATGTCTAGAAAATAGAGAATCGATTGTTTTAGGTATTACGCCACCTAAATTTCAAATATTGAATTGTACTTTCAAATCTTTGTCCGTCTACTTCATTTTGGATGATAATGACCAGGTAATGTTACAAACCAGGTGTGGCCCCCTAAGAAAACTACCTACTTCTGTTTGGGCATCTGAGCAGTATCACAGCCCTCACACAAATCAAATGAGATTTGTGTGGCGCATATATATCTGGTTCCTCCTTGCACCAATATTTATGTGTTTAAATAAATTGGTATTGCGCCACTTAAATTTCAATTATTGAGTTGTACTTTCAAATCTTTGTCCGTCTACTTCACTTTGAATGATGATGTCCAGGTAATGTTACAAACCTCTATGTAATTAATGCATGGTTCAATGATGAGTGTATTGAGTTATATGACAAACAGGCATGAGTTTCACATTATCAATAATCAATGTAATATTCAATGCATTGAGATTGTGACTGGTAAGGTTTAAACATGTTTTAGTGAAACAGTTCTTACCAACTGGATTAGACGACTGTCGAGCTATATTATCCTTCATTGGGCAACATTGATTAAAAAGGTGAAACTGTAGCATTCAGCTTCCAGTCAGTTAGTCCTAGGTTCAAACCTGGTTCCATCTACTTCTATGTTGGGTAGTTGGATAGTAACACAATCCCTCATACTTAGATTACGGTTCGGGCTTAAATTTACGAATGAGTACCTGATGAATTGCGAAAAAAAAAACCTTAATTTCTAACAACTATTCATTCTCTGCGAGACTTGAAAATTTTCTCCATTTTTCAATGATACGACGATTCAGATTAGTCTGGGATGAATTCAATTTACAACTGGAACTGACCTCCATAAAATCACTTCAACTAAATGTCCATCGTTCATATCCTTCAGTTGTATTTCTGATTTTTGTTTCAACCCTGACAATTTATCTTGAAGAGTAGTAGTTAACTGAATTACAAAAGAATTTAGTAATATTAAATCAAAACAGTTCACTTGACATACATTATTGTAAAATTCACTTTAAAATATATTGCGCATCCACAATCCCGCACATGGGATTCGGACACTGGGCCTTTCGACTCTCTCACGAACACTTAACCTCTATACCACTAAGCCAGCATACGACGATGTTAATGTCTAACTTCAACCAGTTCACGAAATTGTGCGACTATCTTCCACTATCTAAGGTAGATACCTGTCTCTACTTGACATGGATTAACTTCACTGGTCACAGCTTCTCACTAGAACTCCGAGTATCACCCCTTAAAGCCAGTCACTAATGTGCACGTGGTAATTATCAGTTTGGAATTATGGAAATGTTTTCTGTGTGTTTACTTCTTTAATAGCATTCTTTTTTTCCCTGAATGTAGTATGTCATAGTACCGATAAGATTTCAATCCTGATATGTTTGTTGTCAGTTGATTCAACTACTACAGCTGTTTCTCTCTCTCTCTCTCTGTATGTCTGTTGATTTCTCTTTGTTTGTGTTTGTGTATGCGTGCATAGCAACACGTATTCATAAATCAATGAATCATATTTCAGGATGACAGTTTGTTATCTATTAAATTAATAGGGAAAATACAGTAATATTCCTGTCCTATAAAACAAAAACAAGATCATTGATATGTTCTGTTAAATTTGGTTTCTTATACAAATGAGATAAGACATGAAAGGACTTACTTATTTACCTTAAGTGGTGTATTCTTTCACAAGAAGGAAAAAGAACGTAACGATGTATCTCCTATGTATCTATGTATGTGTGTGTGTATTATCTGTTGGTGCCTGTCAAGAGAATACAAGTTATACATATTGATTAAGTTAAAAAAAAATGGGTCTAAATATGGATGTCAGTAATGAAATAAAGTTTATTCAATGTTAGCAAACTGATAAACACATCAATAACCACATCATCATCATCGTCATGAATATTCTTAAAGATAGGCACGAAATTGTATTGAATAATTTTTTTTGGGGGGGGGGTTGTGGAAACCTTTACATATCTGGGCAGCATCATCGATAAACACGGTGGATCAGATGCAGATGTGAGGACGCGGATCGGCAAAGCAAGAGCAGCATATTTACAACTGAAGAACATCTGGAACTCAAAACAATTGTCAACGAACACCAAGATCAGAATTTTCAATACAAATGTCAAGACAGTTTTACTGTATAGGGTAGAGACGTGGAGAACTACGAAAGCCACCATCCAGAAGATACAGGTGTTTATCAACAGTTGTCTACGCAAGATACTTCGGATCCGTTGGCCAGACACTATCAGCAACAACCCACTGTGAGAAAGAACAAACCAGATTCAAGCGGAGGAAGAAATCAGGTGGAAGCGCTGGAAGTGGATAGGACACACATTGAGGAAATCACCCAACTGCGTCACATGGCAAGCCCTCACATGAAATCCTGAAGGCCAAAGAAGAAGAGGAAGACTAATTAACACATTACTCCGAGAAATGGAGACAGGCATGATAAGAATGAACAAAAATTGGATAGAATTAGAAAGGAAGGCCCAGGACAGAGTAGGTTGGAGAATGCTGGTCGTTGGCCTATGCTCCATTGGGAGTAACAGGCGTAAGTAAGTAAGTAAGTAACAAAATTGTATTATTAACTTGATGAATTGAACACGAAATGCATTCCATGTAGTTTATATGTAAAATAGAGAATTGAGTTGATCTGATTAAACTAACTATTCTAATCTAATTTGTAATGGTTTGTTTTTCGATTATCACCCCTCTGTTGACATTTTGATTAGTCCTGATATGCGTGTATGTATCCTGTGCGGATTGTTTTGTAACAAGTTCATATAGAACAGATATGAGTCTCTTAATTTAATAGTCAAATAAACAACTCGTTAAACGTTTGAAACAGAAGGTACTATGTTCGAATCCCAGAGAGAATATCAACTCTAGGATACAGGTACATCGAGCTGACGAGTCTTAAATAGAATAAATCGCGCATCATGGATTCTATTATTAACCACAACCTATCTTTTCTATATTAAATAATTATTCACTATTTTTTGTTGTGTAAATAAATGATAATTCTTCCTCTTGCTCATTCACTCCCTCACTTATGCACCTCTGTTTGTCTCTTTCTTCCTTGGTTATCTGTCGTTTTTTTTCTTGTTTGTTTATCTTTGGAAGAACTTGTCATTTCAAATTATTGATTGTTATGTAAATAAATAGTATATATTTATAATATCCCAATGGGTAGAAAAATTAGACTTCCTGACGTTTCGTCACTCAATGTAAGCCACTTCTTCAGAGAATAATTAACCAAATTCACATTAATCCAAGTTTAAATAGTACAACGGAACAATATTAGGTGCGATCAATCAAAAAACAGATTTGAATAAATCAATGTTATATCATTTCGGTCAAGGTGATTCATAAACAACATGTATGTAAAGTTGTGTGTGTGTGTGTACGTCTGCACTGTTGATGATGAAAAATGTGTGACCTTTATCATGACAAAGGATAGAGTTTAATTTGTAATGTAATGGTGTGAAATTGTAAATAATATCAGACTAGGTGACTAGGATAGATAGTCCAATTAAGATGTATGGTAAGGCCTTCTTTTCTATTGAGAGTAGTAGGATTAAGCATTATATAGAACACTTCCGTTACTCTCCTTTCCTTGTAATTGGAAAAAGCCTTTTTTGTAGTATTTTAATATTTTTGAAATCAATTTGATGAGTAAGCAAAGATGGATAGTGGCTAGCAGTAGAATCCAGGGCGCACGTTTCGTCCTATTTCGGGACCCGTCAGCTGAATGTACTTGCATCTCAGAGTTGATGTTCACTCTGGGACTCGAACCCAGTTTATTTCGCTTATAATGCTTGTGAACTATGGCTATATCGAGGTAATACACACAGTATGCATATATGTCAATAAGAGACTGACCAGTTTCAGTCTTAAACATCAATGGGAAGATTCAAACAAACAATACTTAGTTAATTCAAACTTCACCCCATCGTACAAGCAAGTGGTTATCGGGACTCAGTAGCTAAATGGATAACGCAATGACGTTTGGAGTGAACAATACTCGGTTCGAATCCCAGGGTTAACATCAACTCTGAGATGCAGGTACATTCAGCTGACGAGTCCCGAATAGGCCAAAACGCTCATCCTGGATTCTACTGCTAACCACTATTCATCTTTGTTTATAATGCTTATAATTCAATTGTTTAAGCAGAATTTAAAACGTGAAACTTATTTCAGTCATTTACTGTAAACACAGTAATTATATCTTCACATTGTATGTTTATGTGTTAAATATAACGATTACCTACCTACCAGAAGTTATGTACACATATCTATGTGTGTGTGTGTGTATACACACGCTTATTTGTTATCATCATAAGTTTACTTATCTTTACGATCCATTCTGAAAACTGGATCAACAACAACAACAACAACTCAACGAACTGATATTTACATTGTAATACAACATTGTATTATTTACACATTTAAATAATTATAAACAATTGAATAAACGAATACACAATGTATACTACTACAACACTTACTGTTTGATTATTATAATCATTACCAATACTATTAACCATGGTGATTAAATGATAAGTATGTAGATGTAACGGATTGATAAAATGGATACAATGATATTAATATCAATCTAATTTTAAAACATACAAATTTCGGTTTTGTAAAAAATTTTTATTTTTTAAAAAAAAAAAAAAAACAACTCATTATTTCAATCATTCATTGACATTCTACTTAAATCAGTAATATCATATATGTGTATATAAATGAGTTTATATTTCAACACATTAGTATATACTACTAATATTATTACTGTATAAAATAAACATTTAGTTAGTAACTAAAATTAACAGGGTGGATGAAAAATGTACATTAATGTTTCATGTTGTTCTTTTTAAGGGTTCACACTTTATCTAGAATATATATATTGATTATGAACGAATTATATTCTTTCTTTTTTATCAAAAGGGGTTTTTGTGGAGATTTCAGTATTTTCATAGTTGAAAGTGTGAGTCAATTGAAGCTAGACCACTATGGAAAACTTGGAAGCACTGGATGACCGTTTCATCCCAGTATGTGACTCCTCAGCTGTGCGCATCCACAATCCCGCACTCGCAAGATTCGAACCCAGGACTTACTAGTCTCACGCCAGAGCACTTAACTGATAAACCACTAAGCCAGCCGGTATCCAATGGTGTTAATGTCTAACTTCAAGTGATCCACGAAGTTGAGCAACCATTCATCAATTGTCTTCAGTTAGTTGATATCTCACAACAGACGTTGTTTGAACTCCACTGGTCACTGCTTCTCACTAGAACTCCTGGATTTACTTCTCGAAGTCACTCACTACTGGGCATATTATTATTATTATTATTATTATTATTATTATTATCAGTGCTTCCAGGTTTTCCATAGTGGTCTAGCTTCAATTGACTCACGCTTTCAACTATATTCTCTCTGTTAATCATTAATATTGAATCAAGTTGAAGCGATCCAACCAGATTTATTATTTTATTCATAAAAAAAGTCATTTCATTAGTGAAACGCAAAGTAGAACGTGGAATATGGATACATCAGTTCAAGTTGTCAGTTGTCATGGTGAATTCCAGTATAGTATAGTTAATAATAGTATTCATGGTAATAGAAATGATTAATCATTGAAGATACGATTCAGGGAGAAAATGTGGATTACGGAAATGAAACCAAAATAATTCACAAGGAATTCGGAAAGTCGGGAAGATAAATAGTGAATGCGTATAAGCTAATGAGAATGATTTTGAGAAATATCACTTAAAGTCTCCAGCTATTAGTTATGTTAATCATGGGAACCACAAAGAAGTAATCTACACCTACCCTACATGGTTCATTCCACTGGTTAATTTCTTTATTGAACTGAAAAAAGAAAGTAGACAATTAAACTTTTATTACGAATTCGTTTCTGTCGTTTATTACTTCTAGTTAACCAAAACGAGAATGTAATTCACTTCTTCGCTTACCACCTATTAGTTGCCTCCGATACATAATGGTAACACGCCAATTACAATATCTTCCACAATGTAATTACAAGAAGAAAAAATAAAATGACAAATCCTGTCTCCAGAAGTATTTGAGATTTTGGTATCATAACTCTGTATAGTATTCACACTAAGTCAACATAAGGATTCAATTAGATAATAACATGAATCAACGGGCTTTCGTTGAAAACCTTCAACATCGAACGACCGTTTCATCCTAGCATGAGAATCCTCGTCAGTGCAAGTCCATGACCCCGCAAGTGAGAACTGAACCAAAGACTATCGGTATCAAGCTCGGACGCCTAACCCCTAGACTACTCAGTTGGGATCCAACTATGTTAATGTCTAACTTCAATCAATCCACGACCATCTCCGATTATCTTCGGTGGATAGCTCCCCCACACCCGATATGGTTTTACTCGACTGGTCATTTGTATGTCTGTTAGTGATGTGAGGTATGAATAGGATTAAGTCTATGGATATTTCGATAAATGGTCCATATTTGACCGACAGTTAGGCCTTCCTTTCTATTAAGTTCAGTGAAGTTTATAAATATGTGAACAGCGCCAGCCATTCACCTTTATGGTTGAAAAAACATTTGTTATTATTATGATTATCCGCAACTGTGACTTCACCACCTGCCCCCATTCACCATCATTAGTTACTCACGTTACAAACCAAACTTAAACATTATTATATATTTTGCATTATTCCTCTTCATTCTGTGCTTTTCTATTTCGTCTGGAGCGTTCAAATCAGTTTCAAAGTTTTTGAGAAGACCTTGGTTCGTAATAAGACTACTATTTGTAATTATAAACAGGTCTACATTTGATTGATAAAATGTTTTCAAATAGGGTTGATATTGAACGATTGAATGTAATCAACATATGATCATTCTTGTTCTAAGCTTCTTGCTAGTCGGCACTCATCAGCAAGATATATCTGTAATTTCTAAGGAACTGACGCCTAGTGTGAAACTTTGAACTTATATGATTTAACTTCTCAATCTGAGACGTTATCAATTAGGCTAGTCGAATCATAGATCAAACCAATGATGGTAAATTTATCTGGATCCTACAAATCATTCGATTGTTCATAGTTTGTTATTGTCTTCAGATGAAGTCATTTGTTATGAATACATTTTATTTTATTTTTAATCAGTTGTTGTTAATGAAAGATATATCTGTTTCTTTAATAGGATAAATACACATTAGTCAGCGGGATAATTAACAGTCGTGCAGCGCCATCACGTCAAGTAGTCGCTGTTACTGGTGATGGTACAAATGATGGTCCAGCATTGAAACGTGCAGATGTTGGTTTTGCAATGGGTATAGCTGGTACAGATGTAGCAAAAGAAGCATCTGATATTATATTGACAGATGATAATTTTTCAAGTATTGTTAAAGCTGTTATGTGGGGTCGTAATGTATATGATTCAATTACAAAATTTTTACAATTTCAATTAACTGTAAATTGTGTAGCAATTATTGTTGCATTCGCTGGAGCATGCTTTTTAGATGTAAGTTAAAGTTGTGACAGGGAATTTGATGCAGGACATGTGGTCTTGCATACAAATGTTTAAACTGCAAACCCCTAGGCTGGTTTTCAATCTTATACATATTTAACATCAATCAATTCATAATATTTCATGACCTTACATTGTCTGTGATAGATAACTGTCTCATATCCGATATGGTTGAATTTCATTGATCATGGCTTCTCATCAGAACCCAGAGAATTGCATCTCGAGGCATCGTCGTGAATAGACCCTGCTAAGGAGTTTCATCCCAGGAAGAGACAGCTATTCAATGCTTCCTGGTTTTCACTAGTATTCAAGCTAAGATCAGTTTGTGATTTGAACTATGAAAATTCTACAATCTTTACGAAACCCTATACTTATAATCTACAAATTATACTAAGATTATAGATGGGCATTTAATATTAGTACTACTTACCTCTGCTACCATTTCAAAATGATCATGCTTCATAGATAAGAAATTTAAGTGTTATACCTAGAGCTTTGGTTCTTACTATGCCGCGTACTACTAGTCTACTTGAACTATAGAACCCGCAACTTCGCAAGATAGAAGACAGAAGACTAGTAAGTAGGAACTTTTATTCCCCCTAAACAGTGTCAAAATATAGTACAGAAATCTCATGTATTTATAGTTATTGGCTGAATGTAAATCATCATTTCGGTCAACCAATAGACACATAGGGGTCATTCTTATCCATCCAATGGGGAAGCTACACGTCGACATTCTAGAATATTCCCCTATCAGTGATTGGATGGAATATGTCCGGCTCTTTCTGGGCTTCTTAAGGCTTCCTAGAATTTACCAACGAGCCGTCCTTACAATAAGCAATCTGTTTTTTTTTCATTTAATATCAGTCCAATTCATTGTTTATGGCTTAAGTAACCCTATGTAAAGCACCTAATTTTTAGATTCTGTCTTGTTACTTTGATGAAACTTTTTTTCCTCATATGTAAAATAAAACCCATTTTTAAACACACTTCAAAGAATTACTACTAGGTGGTATGTATTAGACTGGTCTGGTTTTCTGGTTTTATATTTAATCCCTACTCGATTAACTGATTTAAAGGTAGTTAGTGGAACGACTTCAGTGAAGCTAAATAGTACTTTATATTGTATAAATGTAACTGCGGTCTTATTTTTAATCCTATAACTAAGATATTTTGAAGAGTATATTAGTTGTTTTACGTAAGATAATTTTATGCTGTATAGTTCTAGGACTCCTTTAAGTTCAGGATACTGGAGCCGATGTGCACCATTGGTTTGGAATCAGAGTTTTTCAACTACCCTAGATGGGTCTTCCGTATCCACCAACCCAGTTAAAGCGTCGGACATTCACTTTTCGTCCTCCCAGTCTCGTAAACAACACCCCCGTCACTGTAAGAAGGCAGTATATCAGTTTTTTTTTACGTAGAATACTCTTATGCTGTATAGTTCTAGGACTCCTTGAAGTTCTGTTGTTGTACTTATAGCTTATTAAGGTAAAGTGATGATATCAATTAATGATGGTTTCAGTCAATTTTTGATTCAATCACAAATTGTTTCGTTTATGCTAATATTCATCAATGTTAAAACGAATGGTTTGACAAAAATTGAGTCCTAAGTATACAGACGATATCATATGTAGTAGTTCATTTATTATTTATTTATTTAAGCACATAAATATTGGTACAAAAGGGGCAACAGATACATATGCGCCACATAAATCTCATTCGATTTGTGTGAAGGCTGTGATACTGCCCAGGTGCCAAAACTAAAGCAAGTGGTTTTCTTAAGGGGCCACACCTGGAGCCTTTGACCTAAAGATCTGATCCACAAGGCAGTGGAGCATTGTGAGGAGATGCAGTCCCATGGTAGCCGGTGATCAACAACTGATTCATACGACGTTTGTTCCTTCAGGATACTGGAACCTATGTGCACCATTGTTTTGGAATAAGGGTTCATGCACTTGAAGATAAAAAATAAAACCACCTTGGTTTAATGTAAAGTATGGAGCCGAACCAATTGGGGAACGAGAAAGCTTCTTCAAGTTCATAATCCACACATGAAAATATGGTTATGAATTAGTATTCAGAATCAGTATTATCGGTTAAAGCTAAGATCTTCATCATGAACTAACATCAGTTATAATACATAAACCTATCTCGATCTTAATCCCTAGCATAACTAACCATTCAAATATCGTTGACATCTTCAGATTGGCTAAAATGAGTTTAATCCTCAAGGTTGTTTGGCTATGTTATACTTCGCGCTTACCTCACTTTGTATTCTGTTGCTATTTTGTTGAGGAAGATAACAGATAACGCTTTATTATTAATTTCTATGCAGCTCAATGAATCCAGATTCACTAAAAAGAACGTTCTTTTTACTTATGAACATCTATTTCCCCAATTGTTTTGTTGTTTTGTCTGATCCTATATCTTTTTCAATCTATTATACTGATCTATCTATTGTATATTCTTTTGTCCTTAATCCCTTTCCCTGTGTTCCCTGCCGCTTCCAAAAACTATTTGTAATCATCTATGTAGGATAGTCCATTGAAAGCTATACAAATGTTATGGGTCAATTTAATTATGGATACATTGGCTAGTTTAGCATTGGCTACAGAACAACCATCAGTGGAATTATTAGATCGTGCACCATATGGACGTACTCAACCATTGATCAGTAGACAAATGGCTAAAAATATCATAGGTCATTCATTATATCAATTGGGTGTTATATTTTTCTTATTATTTTATGGTAAGTCAATTTGATTGGTCAAAAAATGAATGTATATTATTGTCCTTGAATCATATGATACTATTAATTAATATAACTTGAAAGTCTGGTCTATTATTGATATACCAACGTGATCAGCTGATTTTTTGTTGTTGTCAACCAATCAATACTCTGTAGTATTGTTCCATACTGATGCTCCTAACTATTCTAAGAAAGAATATTAGATGAGTCTGGACACATGCGTTCGTATATTCCGATGGAAGTTCTTATAATCATTCTAGTATTTGTAAGTTTATATCTTGTTGATATTAAGGATCTTCAGCATATGTACTTCCTGAGCCAATTGTCTTGATATTATCAGATTCCACTGCTGTTTACGAGCCAACTCTTAAGAAGTAATAAATTCGCTCATTCGTCAAGTACTTAGGTATAAGTCACACTCCAAGTGAGAGAGATAAAGATACTAATCAGTTGCCTAGACTGAAGTAGGTGAGTCAGAGTTCGGATCTGGGACTCAAGTGCGAGTAGTCGATCTTATTAACCTTTAAACCATTGCTTCACTTCACCATCAAAAATCTACCTTCCGAGAGGTTAAATTTGCATTAGTTTTTAGATAAACTAGACATGTTCCAGGCTTTTACACGACCTGAACAGTACAGCTCAGTACTATGATGCAACCATATAAGTACCAAGAATCTTGATAGACTTAGTAAATCCAACTTTATTGAAATACTTGTGTATGTCTGTGAATATTGTGGAAAGCGACTCGATTGCTATCTTAAATCTCATTGGTTCGAGCACAAATTACAATCCAGCAGGAAAAGTGCCACAGTCGGATTCATTCTCAGAAGGGGTTTGGTGGAGATTTTGGTAATTTTATAGAGTTGAGATTATAAGTCAATTGAAGTTAGACCACCATCAAAAACCTGGAAGCACTGGACGGCCGTTTCATCCTATTTTTAAGTGCTCTGGCGCGAGACTGGTAAGTCATGGATTCGAATCTTGTGAGGCGGAATCGTAGATACACACTGCTGAGGAGTCCCATAATAGAATGAAACGGCCGTCCAGTGTTTCCAGGTTTTTGATGGTGATTTAGCTTCAATTGACTCATGATCTCAACTCTATAGGATTCATTCTTTTTCAATAAAAATAAAGTTATATATATTCTTCTGATCATTTTTGTTATTCTCTTTCCCCCCTCCTCCACTCTTCTCCTTTTAGTTGATTTAATCATGGAAGTGGATAATGTATCGAGGATTACAATACATGAACCAACACAACATTATACTATTATATTTAATGCTTTAGTATTAATGACATTATTTAATGAATTTAATGCAAGAAAAATACATGGACAACGTAATGTATTTAGTGGTTTACATAGAAATCCATTATTTATTATCATTTGGTTTGTAACATTTTTATTACAAGCATTAATTATACAATTTGGTTCATATGCATTTAGTACAAAAGCATTAGAATTAGATCAATGGGCATGGTGTTTATTCTTTGGTGTTGGTGAACTTGTATGGGGTCAGGTATGTGTAATTACTTTTTTGTTTAATTTGTTGTTACTCATTGTCTATAAAAAACTCTTCCTTATCTAAGTTTATTCGCTGGTTGATAATCGTCAGTATGGATATTTACAAACTGAGGAATGGATCCTGTATCGTGTGTGATCTTAACTGAAATCAATGTCATTTAGCTTAAGAGCTTGAGGCACTACCACTCTGTTGATTGATCTGCTGCGGGAATGAAATAGTCACATAATAGTGATCAATGTCATGTTTATCTAGTCCCTAATGGTTGATCCAATCCTATTGATCAAGTTCGTGTTGGCAACGAGGTTGTGTTGTAAACTATAACATTATCAGCCTCAACTATAAACAGGGTACATTTTAAAAACTAGAATCATTCAATGTACATTCGAGTGTAACTATTGAAGACTTGGAGCGATAAGTGAGAGCTATATTTAACAAACGTAAGAATAGCCTAAGGTCTTAGAAATAGTAAGAATGTGAACATATTTCCAGTTGATAAGCATGGACAAAGAAAACTACATCAATCTAAGGCTGATTATCCATCTATGAATGATGATGTATATCAATTTAAATGAATTCAATCAAAACGCTTGATAACCACACCTAGGATTTGAAACAAACTTATCAAAACACGGAAAATATTAAGAAAAAATCGACGCTAAATGAAAGTGAATAGATCCACTATCCCTTTCCAAAACAATTCTTCCAATTTCGATAATGTGATAAGAAGACTAAGATTATCAGGACTATATGATAATGCATGTGTGTGTTGACATACATACAATCGTGATCTGAAAATTAGGGTGGGTGAACATGTACCAAAATTGTTGCAAAAACAAATAGAATCAAATGACCCAATAAGAGTAGAGGATAAACATCCATCATCCTTTATTGCCAAACAAATAATCGAAACAGGTCATAAGATTGATCTTATCTCGGCTTTTGTGATGTCGTGTAAAAGGTTTATTGAAGCCTTAGCCATACGAAAATTCAAACCCCCCTTTGTTCTCACCTTAAACCTACCCTGGTAATATTAGCTTATTATCCAGAGTGATTAGGTTTCAAATTGTTTTCACATTATTATTATTACTGGCCTTGTCTCCTCCCACCCACCATTTCCAGTCTAGTTGACCTTTTATTTTTATATATGGTCTTAAGAAGTATATTATGTGTGATCAGATTGTTCGAAATGTATTGCGCTAATATCTCATCACATAGTTCTGATAATCTTCGTCTTCTTTTGATGTTGGTTTGTTCTCTGAGCTGGATGGTTTGGTCGTGGAGCTTTCGTCGTCCTTCTGAACGACATCATCTCCACCATCTCAATCTTCGTCTTCTTATTACATTATCAAAATTTATCGAAGGGACTAACTGCTTTAAAATTCTTCCAATCTCTGGAACCCTCAAATACAACCTTTTTGATATTGTAATCTGTTTTTAATGACAAGCTCTTATTAATCATGACTCACACACACAGAAGAAGAATCTTCGTCATTACTACAAAACTACACTCAACTGTAATATGTATTAGTTGGTGAAAATGAATGATTATATGTGTGTAATCATCATGATTGCTGTAATAACAGCCCTATTGTTACTAACTTACACAGTATTTTTATGCTTAAAGCTCTTTATATCAGACTTGTGTTGGGAAGACCTAAAAAATTATCCCTCAAAAAAAGCTCAAGAGGACCCTGAAAACGCTGGAACACATTCTATCCAATCTGCACTCAATAGAAGTTTCTCGAAAACATCTAGAAAGTGAAGATTTATGCATCACATTTCTGATTGGATGAATACCTATCCTACTACTATTTATAGTAGGGTCTCAGAACTTTACAGAAACCTAATGCCATCTGAAATGCTATAAATACCGTAAATTTTCTTTATATAAACAGAACCTTGGAGTAAAGAGTTCTTTCCGTATTCCACACCTTTTCTCTCATGTTTAAGGTGGCATATAAATTTTAGCCTGGAGTTACTAGAAAAGCTTAGGAAACCGATTCAAGCGTTCAATCTGAAGGTTTATCAACCTACCAACTCCTAAAAAGAGAAGCGGGATGCATGTACTGTTGAATTTTTGAAACATTCACTTTTTTCACTGAGGTCTAAGTAGATAGAGCACTCAGCTTTAAACCGCTGTAATATAGGCTCGAATCCTATCCTTACATATTCCCATCTTTTTTACATCAAAACACTTGAATCAAAGTCCATTACACGAACTTATGAACATAGGGCTTTGAATTTGTAGTTTGCATAACTTATTCTGTCCAATTGCTTACATTTTCTCGCATGATTCCTTAATCCAGTGGGGGATATTATGGATCAATGATGTGTCATAGTAGTATCAGTCATGCTTTGCTTAGCACTCATATTCATATATTTATTCAGAATTTATCAGGACAGGTAATTGCAGCATACATAAAACTACTATATCGAAATTGACTTGGATAGTTGTGACTGGTAAAGACCAGATATATCGAACTGACCGACGCATTATATCACAAATTGTCATTGAAATTGCACAATTGGATTTTGACCCAGTAATTGTACTAGTTAGCTATTTGCTGTGATACCTGAAATTTTTGAATTCGATCCCTAGTGGGGTCGTAGGTGTGTCCGGCTTAATAAACCCATACTAGAATAAAGCAACTATCCAGAGTTCTCCGTTTCTTCATGACATCTCAACTAAGATTAATCTTTGACAAGTAAGACCTGAAAATACATACGTTTCCTAATATGACCTACATTTTTTATCAAACTTCTGATTTGTCTAAACTATATCACAATCGAGTAACAACGGAAAGGTGTTATAAGTACACAAATTGTTCAATTATGATTGTGGCTAATTATAACTGAAAGTCAGCTGAATTATATCATTTAGAGGTTCTATTCATTACATCACATCTATCCATCTGATCTTTCACGAAGACGCTTAGTTGATTGTAGCACTGACACTTATATAATTATATTTCCCATAACCTACCTTATATATTACTCAAAATATTGAATATATATATTCATTTTTCCACCTTGTCTTTGTTATCTACCAATTACATAGGTTGTGAATACAGTACCGAATGCAATTATACCAAAATGTAAATGTCGTAAACGTAAACGTCCAACAGTTGTCGGTGTTAATGAAAATGCAGCTGGTGAATATATTAAGGATGCGATTGAAGTCGGTGAAGTTGATGAAGAAGAAGAAGATGAAATCTCTCCATTATCACTAGGTGGTGCTAATATGGGAATTGGTGGACGTATTTTATGGATTCGTGGTGTAAATCGTATTCAAACACAGGTAAGTTCATGTGACAGGTGATAGTATATGGAGGGATTTACGATTTTTTCTATTTAGATCTCTATATTTGTCGTTATAGTTCTCAAAAAAATGACAATTTTTTTCTCAAAGAAGGTTTCCATATTCTTTTCAGTAAGAAAGAATCTCGCTTTGATAGAAGCAATAACACTATTGACTATAAAACCAAAAGTTCACGTTTCTCATTTTCTGCACTTTTCATACTTTAGCTAAGAGTAACTAGATGATTCAATAATTCCCTACTTCTGGAAAGATGTAATTCAATGTGATTAGATGGTGGTTGGAGGTGGTCAACAGGAAACCATGGACCCGGGTTTCGTGCTACTCGGCACTCCTCAGCAAAGTGTACCTTTAATCCTGAGGGAACTGGTGCTTCCTGACATATTCGATCCCGTGTGACTCACCTTCACAGTCACAGACGTTACCACTGAGCTACTCGGGCCGCGACCGACCTCCTTGCTGACGAGTGCCATGTAGCACGAAACCCGGGTCCAGTGTTTCCTGTTGACCACCTCCAACCACCATCTTATCTCAACATAGTGCACGCGGTGTCGAGCCACCTAGACTGGTGGCCACATTGCAACTTGATCGATAGCATTCGATCAGCGCTAAGAAGGACTTGACACGCATGACATTGATCACCACCCAGTGATCAATCAATGTAATTCAATGTGGTAAGCATACAAATATTTACTTTATAACTAAGTTATTATTATAAGTAGTATGAACTGTTACATTTGGTTTATAGATTACGTAATCATAACAGTTTGTATATTCTAAATTAATAATGATTAATGAATGATATTTTATTATTTTTTGAATGATTGTTTTCTGGTTAGCGTTTTTTTTTTAGTGAGTTAGTTTTTCTACGGGATTGGGTTCGCTAACCTCATGCCCAACCCTCCTCCTTCACCCGGGCTTGGAACCGGCAGTAACTCTAGAAGAGCTACAGGCGATGTAATAGATTTAACAACTGAGCTTGGTCTGAGACTACTTTTTTTAATGAATTTATTCATTCAATAGACTCAAAGAACCCTAAACTATTGTTTGTCTTCTTTTTATAACGAAGTAG